ACCACAAAGATCCTCTTGATGGTAAGGGGTGCATGGCATATTCTGTCACTGGTTCAAAGGGAGGGTCCGTATGCTTCAGAAGAATAACAATGAGGTCTCATGAGGGAGTCAGGTCCTTAAATGGAGGGCTAATAGGAAGAAGGCCCTTAAAAAATGTCAGTATCTTTGGGTGTGACTGTGCTGGCGTGTGACACACCGATAAAGCCGCCAAGTGGACTTTGAGAGAATTAAATAATAGTTTTGCCTGTTTCAGAAACAGCATAGTCTAGGACAGTGGTTCCCAAACTTTAACAACCTGTGAACCCCTTTCACTAAAATGTCAAGTCTCACGAACCCCCTCCTAAAAATGAATATTTCCAGGAATTTTCTCCTTTACCTGAGTATAAATTATAAAAAGAAGTGATCTTGGAAATATAAAATGTGTTTTTATGACATGCTTATTACACACTATTTATTATTAATTATTATTTATCATTACAGTATTTTTATTACAATATGAAAACGGCAACACTCTTCCAAGATCTCACTTTCGTAGCTTGTATCACTTTGAATAAGCCTGTTATAAGACAAGGCTCCTATGTTTCATCAAGGAGTATTAGATGTGAAACAGCATAAAGGTATTTAAGAAGTCAACTAAAAAAGAGTTCCTCCTACACAAGCATTCAGGTCTTGAGCAGTCCAGGCAAACAACACACGTTACAACAAAGCTCAAACTAGTTCTTCATAATAATTTTAAAAACAATACTAGCTGCTTATTTATTTTAAAAACAGCAAAAAAATATCCACCTCCCTTTCCATTTCTTATAAGGAGTTTTGAAGTTTAAATCTCCTCAGTGTGATAGATATGCTTGCTTTGATCCTCTTAGCTCTTGGAAGTCCAGAGGCTCCGAGCTGCTTGCCCCATGCTGCCTGGGGTCCCTATGGACAGCTCTGTCCGCCATTAGAGAATTTTTTCCCCAAGAACCCCCTGTAACACTTCATGAACCCCCAGGGGTTCACGAAGCCCAGTTTGGGAACCACTGGTCTAGGATCTTCAGCGTTGCTGCCTCAACTGGGTCCAAACCATGTTGGGCTGCCCATATAGAAAATCTTTTCCACTTCGAGGCATAAGTGTTCCTGGTGGAGGATTTTCTGCTTTGTATGAGAATCTTTTGAACCTGTAGGGAGCCGTCTCTGTCAGTATTGTTCAAACAGCCAACATCTGAGCCATCAGGTGTAACAACTGCGGGTCTGGCTGCTGACCTTGATTCTGTGATATGTCCAGGCAGGCCAGGAGGTGAATGGGATGGCACGGGGCCATCTGTAGCAGATGTGACAGCCAAAACTGTCTTGGCCAATAAGTGTCTACCAGGATGTCTGTAGCCTTGTCCCTCTTGATCTTGGATATTATCCTGGAGAATTGTTGGCAAGGCATATATGAATCCTCCAGATCACTGCAAAAGAAAAGCATCTGGCAATAATCCCAGGCTCACGCCTCTTCTGGAACAGAAAATCATGCATTTGACATTGTCCCTTGTGGTGAATAAGTCTATTATGGGGGTCCTTCTGGGGTAGAATATGAGGTCTATGATAAACTCCTTCAGCGACCACTTGTGGTTGGTCACTGGGTGACTGCTTAAGAAGTCTGCCAGGCCTTCACTGAGCCCTAGGAGGTTTAGACCCAGTGGGATTATCCTGTGTTGATGTCACCACTTCTATAGCCTGATGGTTTCTTGGCAGAAGAGGGGATGATCGGGCACCTCCTTGTTTGTTTACATAGTGCATCACCAACATGTTGTGTTGCAGGATTTGCACTGTGGTGTTCCACAGAACAGGCAGGAATGCTATGAAGGCTAGTCTGATGTCTCCCAGCTACTGGACATTCATGTGTAATCTCAGGTCATCCAGACACCATACCCCTGCATCTGTAGGTGGTTCATCTGGGTACTCCAGCCCACTGAAGCATCTGTGATAAGTGCCCGTTGGGGAGGGGCAAAGAATGGGACTAGAGATGGCAATGTCGGTACCAGTGCCAGCACAAGTTTCTTTCTTGGCACAATTTTTTCTGCACCAGTCTTCAACAGAGATGCTGGATAATGCTGGCTTGTCCACTCATAGGATCTCAGGGTCTGATGAGACTCATGAATTGTTCCAGAAGATGGAGTTTGGCCCCATGTCCTCCTAAACAGAAGAGGCACCTCCTATGTCCATCTTTTAAGGGGATTCGTCCATAGCAGGACGGATAGGGTTTGACGCTGGTAGGTTTAGGTCTGCCAAGTTAAGAAGCGCTGGGCATGAAGGTGTGTACAGGGGGATCTAGCTGTTGATACTCAGATAAGATGGGTTGATATGAACACAACAGTCAAATATGAAGATAATCAAAAAAGTTCTGAAGAAATTAAGAAGGTTTAGCCAAAACTAAGAGCTAGTGGGTTAGAAACTGGCCAGATTCTGTCTCACTGCAATAAATAAGAAGAGGGACCTGAGGGAGGGTTGCAGTTGCTTCACTCTTTATGCCTTCGCATAGGAGCATGAGGAGGCACATGGTACATGTGCAGCCCCAACAGACACTGCTACTTTAAAATGTCCAGTCCCGTGCACATGGGGCGCATGAGCACCTTCAGTGGCTCTACACTGACACATCCTTGAAGAATGTTAATTTTTGTACATTAACAAAGCCCTAAAAGGTCACTCAGCAGCACAAGGACATAGATAGCAAGAGGGAAGCTTCCATTTTCCACACAAGATTATTATTAGAAATTTCAAGAAGCATAGCCCAGCCAGATGGTGATGTAATTGGGCTGCCAAACATCTTGCTAACAACTGTCAGTCAGAATGCTAATGCTGTGACTGCTACATGTGGGATCAAATGTTCTGTAGTAGTAGATTCCCTCCATAACACCACCTCAAGCGATTGAACAACTAAGTATGAAAGCCAGAGGCAAAAAAATCTCTCCTGCACCAGTTGCTTTTTATACAAATTACGTGCTTGATTTAGCTTTGCTCTCCTATCCCTATTCCCAATAATAATAATAATAAAAAAAAATCTAAACAGCATGAAAAGTTAAAGGAGATAACAGCATCCTGCTTTTCAAAAGTTTCTCAGCATTTACACTATGATGTGTCTTACTTGCAAAAAAGAAAGTAATTAATTAGCTGCCAAAACCCCATAGGTGCTGATGTCAGTCAACTGTATATTTAATGAGGACCAATTAGTTATTTCTTTTCCTGTGACAGACCTGACAGAAGTCAAAGATCAACTATTCTTCTTTTCCCTGAGGCCTTTTCTTTACAGCCACCTACAATTTCTAGAGCAATATACTCCCACTGATACAATAGAGTATACACAGAAGAGCTAAATGATGTGGCTGACTGGTGGAAAGGATACCTTACGGTACATTATATCTATCTATCTATCTATATACACACACACACACACACACACACACATATATACATACACACACACACACACACACAGGAAAACCTTACTTCCCTTATTTCTAAAGAGGAGAAATTATTCTAGAGTAAAATAGCTTTTGTTCTTGAATAGAGTATCCAGATGGGGAATTACAGCAAAAGAGCTATAAAGGAATATATTACTTTCCCCTTGTGTTGAACCTAAACTCTGAATATGTTCAGAGGTTTGACTAACCCTATTTTTTGCAGTTCTGTGCAGTACACGCTGCATTTTATTAGTGGTTTATGGCCTTCTGGGTGTTAAAATTAATACTGCATCTTTATTGAGTCAATAAATTAATATTTCAGAAATGGGGGGGGAAATCACATATTTGGAAAACAATTTCAACCTTTTCTTAGCAACATCGTCTGGTGGAATTTTAGGATCAAAGGCTTCAAAATTTCTCTTTGTTGTCCTTTTTTCCCTTCCCTAAGTCTCACATCTTAGAACTGTACCTAATTGTATACTGAGTATCACTTAATAGTAGAAATTTGGTAATAACAGTGATATTCGAGACTTTTAAAGATGGGAAAAGGAGAATGAATAGAGGATGATAGTAGTGAAGAAAAATGGATAAATGGGACATAGGAGGTGTAAGCTGGTAAGAGAATAGGAGGCAGGAGAGAACAGAAGAATTGGGAGAGTAGAGGAGAAAACACATCTTGTTGCAACCATTTTTTCCTCTTGCGCTCCTCTATTTTAGAAAGCAAGTCATTCTCTTATTCACCCAGAACAGAGCAAGAGACTAGAGAGCTGGAAGGAACCTACAATATTTTTACAGACGGAGGCAACATTTTAAAATAACATAATGCTATGACTCTGATGTCCTCAATTTGCTATGGTTACTCTTGTTCTTCACTAAAATCTCCAGGGAACAAATTTTCAAAGGAACCACCTGCTAAAACATGAATGGACACACTAAGTCTCCTACGTAACCCCCCACCCCCAAACACCATGAGTTTCCTAATGGAACTCTTGAGTATAGACAGAATTGGCTTTACATAAATAAATCAAAAACATCCTCTATGCTTATTCAAACATAACTGGGTGCAATAATGAAAGAAGAGTAAAACAAAATCTTGGTGATAAAGCAGACAATTCATTTTAAGGTGCTAAAGAAGGGCAGGCCTTTTGTTCAAAATGCTCCCACTAAATCAAATGAGATGGCACAGAAATTTAATCAGAGTGGCTTTGCAAGAATTCTTCTCTCCTTCACCCCCCTCCAAGATGTGGAGCTGAAATATAGAGAGTTAATTAAAATACCTGTCTGGGTTCTCATTTTCCTGTATTACTATCCACAGGAGTTATCTTATGCAATTCATAAAGGTTGGTGATTTACTTCCCCTCTTCACTGAAGAAATAAATCATGAATTAATCTCATGCTTTGGATTCTAATGCTATGCTTGATTTCCTTGCTTCTCTCTCTAGTAATGCTTGTGTTTTGCTGCAGAATAAATATGAATATAAATGTACATGTAATGGAGAGGATAACTACCAGTTAAAATGCATCAAGGGAAATTATCACCATCATATTGTACAGAAATCAAATGAGCATCCATACCTAATCTGTTGGATGGGTTCCTTTTGAAGAGGGCTCTCAGCAAACTTTGGGCTTCTACGCTCAAAAACTGAGGCATTCCTAGCTTGGCTCTGAAAGAACAGAATACTTGAAAAGAAAAAAATATTTTTCAAAAAATTTCAAATCCACACCTGCATTTTATAACTGAAATTTATTGGGACATGCAGACACCCATACACATTTGTCACCAAAGATATAATACCTAGACAGATTAGATAGCTCACAAATGGAGGGGCCAGTCCTGCACCCATCGAGGTTAAAGGAAGTTTTACCATTGATGTCACTGGGAGCAGCTCCTGACCGGAAGCACATAACATCACCTTATAGTTAACGTTGCTCAAGGGTTACTAATTCTAAGGGTTCAGAGTGGTAGCCGTGTTAGGGTATGTCTACACTACGGGATTAATCCGAATTTAGATAATTCGAATTTGGGAAACAGGTTGTATAAATTCGATTGTGCGCGGCCACACTAAGCACATTAATTCGGTTTTTAACCACATTAATTCGGTGGTGTGCGGCCACACTACCCCATTAATTTAAACACAGTAATTCGGTGGTGTGCGGCCACACTAACCCTAATTCGAATTAACAAAATCGATTTAGGCGCTACTCCGCTCGTCGAGGTGGAGTACAGAAATCGATTTTAAGTGCCCTTTAATTCGAATTAACTGGCTCTGTAGTGTGGACGGGTGAAGGGTTAATTCGGATTAACGCAGCTAAATCCGAATTAAAGTCGTAGTGTAGACCAGGCCTCAGTCTGTATCAGCAAAAAGAACAGGAGTACTTGTGGCACCTTAGAGACTAACAAAGGTATTTGGGCATAAGCTTTCGTGGGCTAAAACTCACTTCATCGGATGCATGCAGTGGAAAATACAGCAGGAAGATATATATACACACAGAGAACATTCTGTGGGGACATTCTGTGAATTCTAAGGGGTCATTTTCAGCTATTTATTATCTTTTTTCAGTTTTACCTTTCTGGATTAAATTTGGCAGGTTTGTTCTCAATCCAAGAGCAAACTTTTTGGAATGTTTGACCCAAAATGGCCTAGACATTTTCAAGAATGAAGAGAGTGATGATAAAATACACATTTTGCATTATTAAAAATTGTAATTGGTTTTTAATAGCTCTGGTGCTTCAGTGGTAGACGGCAGAAATAAGTAATTTGGCAGGGATGATGGTTTCAATCTTGCAAACATTTATGCACATGCTGAGCATTAAATCATTGTCAGGTTTGCAAAGGAAAGGACTCGAAAGTCAGGAATGACAACATGCATGTTGTCTGTACAACTTATCTCTGCACCCTTTTATATATGCATCATCATACAGTCTTGTATTATATGACCACATATATTTTTTCTGCAAGCCCCCCCCCGCACACAATGGAATGCTCACAGACCTGCAATACACAGTTTCTGGTTATTTACTCTGGGTGAATCACCTAGGGGATTTAGGCACACAATAACACTGATATTAGTAGGAGTTGCACATCTAACTCCTGGTGCAGCTTTTAAAATCTCAGCCTCTATGTAAATTTGTTCTTGTTCTATATATTTTATGCAGTTAAATGTACTTAGGACCAAAGGCCCATCCAAGGAAGAGAGCTAACAAGTACTTAGTAGATAAACCAAACAGACATTACTACTTACTTGAGAATGAGAGCCATTGTCTCCTTTCTGTCTTTTCCCTGGAATGGTAATGACCCTGTCAGCATCTCAAACTGTAGAACGAAAATAAAAATGGTAAATCAAATGGTAAAGCACATACAGTATTTATGTAAGATTCCATCTGACAGTGCACCATACTATAATACTTTCCATTACCTTGTTTTCTATTAATTTCAAACACCAATGATTATTTCGTAAAAATGTACTATTTATGCTAAAAAAAGGTCTAAAAAACTGTAGCTATACAAAAAGATATTTTATTATGGTAAGTCCATTTCTACTGTGTAAGACATCAGAGACCAAGACTATATTTCAGTTCAAAGGGCTGCCTAAGGAACTGTTATCATCAGTAGCATGGAGAATCATGCACTAGTTGAGATGCACAAAAATCTGGTGCTCACGGGGTTGCATGAACTTTTTTCCACCCGTGTTGGTTCACCTGGGTTCATTCCCCCATGATTTTTGCTTTGAGTTTCAGGTTTAAATGAACCCACAAACTCAAAGCAAAAGCCCAGCAGTGGTCATCAACTTTTGACTGGCTTCCATCTGAAAGCATAAATCAGCCAGCATTCCTCTGAAATACAGTGATTCTTTCAGCAAACCTGACTGGAATGTCACATTTGTAACAAAAGCCCAAATCAAGGGAGCTTGCCTGGTTGGAGTTGAATTCTGAGAGTTTCACACAGCGCTAGTCACTGCACTGTTTGCATGTACAAGTAGTAGCTGATTCCCCAAGCTAATCAGCTTGGGGAATCAGCTGATTGGGGGGGAGGGATAGCTCAGTGGTTTGAGCATTGGCCTGCTAAACCCAGGGTTGTGAGTTCAATCCTTGAGGGGGCCACTTGAGGATCTGGGGCAAAATCAGTACTTGGTCCTGCTAGTGAAGGCAGGGGGCTGGACTCGATGACCTTTCAAGATCCCTTCCAGTTCTAGGAGATGGGATATCTCCATTAATTATAATTAATTATAAGCAATGATGGGTATTGTGCACTCGAAAATAGGGATCATGGACATAATTCAGCTCTGCCGTAAATCAGGACAACTTCCACTGAGGTCAATAGGCATTCTTGTCCGCTTATGTCAGCACCAAGTAAGGTCTTGGGTCTTTTAACAGTAAACAAATACATACTGTTTAATATTCACAGTTATAATTAAGCACATATTTACAAGTGCCATATTCTGCCACCCTTCTGTTGAGTTGTACCTTACCAGAGGAGTAGCTCCTTTGATTTCCGGGGGACTACTTGTGCATTAAGGTACTTTTCAATGTTAGTAAGGGGGGCAGAATCTGACTCTTAGCTGGACTCCCCCCTTTTCAAATGAAATAGATCAATAATTCCCCTAAGTACTTCATAATAATATTTAGCACTCACGGTGACTTTTCAAACCTCGCTCTCTCAAAGCACGTTATAAAAGCGGGCAAGCCGCATCATCCCAACTGGGGAAACAGAGGCATAGAAAGGCAGAATGATTTGCCTGAGGTCAGAAAACAAGCCATTGTCAGAACCTGTAGCAGAACCAGGTCTCCTGGCTCTCAGTCCAGAGGCTTAAGTGCTAGATCATGCTTCGTCCTATTTGCCTTTCTTTAACCTACAACATTTTTAATTACTTTGTGCTAGTTAGTAAATATTAGTTTAGGAGCAATATCTGCTCTGCTTTGATTAACACAAATGATGATTAAATACTAAATTTAGTTTAGAGTTATACTCATATCCATTTCAGCAATTTAAAAGATATAAAAGGGAAAACATAAAAGCCCTAAGGAATGGCGACCGTGTGTTTTAAAGGATAATGGCTTTTTAAAATCTGTACAAAACTCCCAATGATTAAAAAAACCCCAACCCACAGGAAGTACAAAGAAATTACTATTATTTTCGCCCTGAAATTTAGAAAAATAAAAGCTAAACCCTATTGACTTCAATGGGGCAACACCATTGCGCAGAGTTGCACCAGCAGAAAGGAGGGCAGAATTTGAATCTCTAAATCAAATTTCAAGATGTCAGGCAGGAATGTTTCTTGCTGGATCAATATGTTTTTCCTTTAGGAGATATGTGCATATGGCAGGTAAGAGAACTTCCTACGATAAAGAGAGATGAAACAGAAATATTCAGACAAGGTAAAACTCCAGTGAGATCAGGGCATTTCTTAAAATTGAAACTCATTGCAAAGTGCCATTGTACTAGATTCACTTCCTGTGGTATCTTAACATCTGCTCTTCAAAGCTTAAGTTGAAATTTTTATCAAATAAATATTCTGACTTTTATACATATTTCATTAAATATATGCTAACTGGCTTTGTCTTCTCTCATCAGCACCTCATTTTAAACTCTTAACAGTAGTTGGGGCTATTCCGACATTACTGCTTGAAATTCAAGTCTTCTATTCTGTATAGATATTTAAATCAGGTCACATTTAAAAGTGACAGTTTATCAGCCACACTGGAACATTTTGCATATTATATCTTCAGTTCAGACGTGGTTTCCCCAGCACTAAATTATCCAATGCAAATAGAAATCAAGCCTAATTTCACCTCTGAGACCCATAGCACAATACGTTTGGCAGTGTCTGCATAGCAATAATTCATGAAGCCATAGCCTGCAAAACCAAGTTGCCAAGTTACTGGGGGCTAATTTCATTTAAAATGTCCAAAACCATGTACCATTCTATCCTGAAACAATTCCTCTTCCTTACTAGCAATGCTAGCAGCCTGAAGGGGAGAGGTGTGACAGACTAATATATCTCCATAAAATAAATACATAAATAAATAAATGGTGTCCTTTTACCTCTTTACCCCTTTAGCATTTTGGTCATGGCCTTTCTAACCAGTCAGCTGTATTTTGCAGTTCTCACTATCATTCACCACTCCTCCGGCCAATAAGATGTAATGGTCACTATGAAAAACTTACCAACAGATGCTACAGTATTGGCCATACCAAAACAACTGCATTTCCTGTTTTAAATAGAGGGAAGTTCTGTGACTTAAAGGAAAAGCTTTCATGCCCATGTCATGCCCGAACTTATAAAGGCCTAGGCACAATCAGAACTATGTCAGGAGGCTATTTGAATTATAAGGGCACCTAAAATTCCTTCTTCAGCAATCATACTCACCATAAAAAGTACCTGATGATTTAATAACTTGGACCACAGAGTAAACACAACCATTACATTGTTATAACAGTTTTGTGGGGAGGAAACAGAAGGAGAGGGAGAGTTGAGGCTTAACCTTAGACAACAACAAGCTCCCTGAAGCTACTGAAAACAGGTACTTGAAAGGAGACAAAGGACTTTCAAATATGTGTGGACAATTATAAGCCAGACTCAGAAAACAAAGGGACAGAAAAGTGAGGAAGGGTGGTTGGCTTGGAGGGTCAGAGAGAAGTAGCTGTTTTATTAGAGGGGAATAAGATTTTGGGTAAAATTCACAGACGTGCCCAAGTGACTTAGGGGCCAAAGTCCCATTAAACGCACCCAAGTCATTTTAAAAAATGACTTCCATTAAGTGGTAAGAAAAGGAATATGCATTATACTGAATTGTCTCCATATTTCTAGAAGCATGGATGTTTAGGTATCTAACACATTATGTTTGTCATGCTTTCTTCTCCTGTGAGCTTCTTGCTCTTAAAATCCTAATTTAAGAAAATTAAAAGTGGCTGCAGTTTGTTCATTTTGGTATAAGGCATAGCCTGACACATTCGAGGCAGGAGACAGTAATATGAATGACGGCCCGACCATTGGCCATGGAGGAAGAAAAAGACTGCAGTCTGCAGCTTTTGTTCACAAGGGAGACCATAGAAAGACCTGTATTTGCAGTGTGGACACAGAAGGCAAATCAGCCTGCAAGGCAGAGTGGTAGCTCAGGGTGCAGGGACAGGGGTAGCTAGGGGTTATGTGCAGGCAGGGGGTAGCTCAGGGTGCAGGGAGAGATGAGTAGCTAGGGGCTGTGTGTAGGCAGGGGGGTCGCTCAGGGTGCAGGGAGAGGGGTAAGTAGGAACTGTGTGACCAGAGGGCACCCTCCCCCAGCAGTTGCTGCTCACCGAGGGCTCTGCCAGCCCAGGAGCCAGCATCCTGCCTGCACAGTGTTCTTTAAAAAAATAAAATAAAGGCAGAGACATTTGTTGACTGGCATTAGGGAGATGTGCTAGTAACTCCCTTGAGCACCATACAGAACATTTACCGCAATGTCTCAATCACTAGTACTTTGTTACCACATTTCTACAATTACATGGTTCTAATATAAAGATGAAATCAAATTCAAAAGACATGCACTTAACATCAATATTTAAAAGTCAGTGCAGTGCGGCTCCAGCACATTGTATGCATCAATGCTTTTTCCTTCAGTGAACTGAATCAAGGCAGGATCTGGAAGAAAGCATTGATGTTTCTGTAACGGCAATGCCATTGTGTTTAACATAATGTTGAAGAAGGTTAGCAAACATTAAGTAAACAGAAAAACATCCTTGTAAATTGAAATAGCTTATGTCTTCACCAGCTAATGCCACTGCACAGCTCACCCTCAGTTTCCTGTTTATTATCAAAGAATTAAGAATTCAGTTCAATACTGAACATGAGACTTGACAAAAGAAGTTAGCCCTCACAGCTGACACCCCTGCACATAGATACACTACTGTCTGATGGTCACAACAGATTGACTGGGTGTCAGGCCTAGGAGTAAACAAACTGCAGGATTAGGGTGATGTGAGTTGACACCAAACCCATCACAGAACCAGGGCCGGCTCTGGCTTTTTTGCCGCCCCAGGCAAAAAAGCCTCCGGCCGCACCCCCGCCCCACGGAGGGGGGGGGGCGGCTGGAGCCCCGGGGGGAGGGCGGTGAGACCCGGCGGGGGCTCTGCTCTCCCCCCGGCGGCCGGGGCGCAGGCGCCAGGGGGGCGAGACGGCGGCGAGCCCCGGCTGGGGCTCACTGGGGCTCTCCGCTCTCCCCCCGGCGGCCGGGGGGAGGGCGCCGGGGAGGAGGGCGGCCAGAGTGCCAGGGGGAGGGCGGCGAGCCCGGCCGTGGCCCCGCTCTCCCCGGCGGCCAGACCGCCGCGCTGCCCCC